GCAGCCGCTCAGTAACACAGGAGAGCTGCAGGAGAGACCGGACTGGATTGGATTAAAAATAGTTGAGTATGCAGATCTTTTTTATATATGTTAAGCAGGATACATATAAGGAAGGGGGGGGAAGAAACATTTTTAAGAATAGATATAAATAGGCTTTCCTTCCACTTTAAAGAAGAAGTTCAAATCACCTCTTTGTGAAAGAATGGGTCGCTCTGAGGAGCTCAGTGAATTCAATCATGGTACCATGATAGGTTGCCACCTGTGCAATAAGTCCATCCGTGAAATTTTCTTGCTACTAAATATTCCACAGTCATCTGTTAGTGGTATTATAACAAAGTGGAAACAACTGGAAACAACAGCAACTCAGCCACCAAGTGGTAGGTCACGTAAAATGACCAAGCAGGGTCGCACAGTGCGCAGACGTCACCAATTGCCTGCAGAGTCAGTAGCTAAAGACCTCCAAACTTCATGTGGCCTTCAGATTAGCACAACAGTGCATAGAGAGCTTCATGGAATCAGTTTCCATGGCTGAGCAGCTGCACCCAAGCCTTACATCACCAAGTGCAATGCAAAGCATCGGATGCAGTGGTGTAAAGCTGAACTCTAGAGCAGTGTAGACATGTTCTCTGGGATGACAAATCACGCTTCTCTGTCTGGCAGTCCAATGGATGTGTCTGGGTTTGGCAGTTCACAGTAGAACGGTACTTCCCTGACTGCACTGTGCGAAGTGTAAGGGTTGATGGACGAAGGATTATGGTGTGGGGTTGTTTTTCAGGGGTTGGGCTTGGCCCCTTAGTTCCAGTGAAGGGAACTCTTAAGGCGTCAGCATACCAAGACATTTTGGACAATTTCATGCTCCCAACTTTGTGGAAACAATTTGGGGATGGCCCTTTCTTAATCCAACATGACTGCACATCAGTGCACAAAGCAAGGTCCATAAAGACATGGATGAGCAAGTTTGGGGTGGAGGACCTTGACTGGCCTGCACAGAGTCCTGACCCCAACCCGATAGAACACCTCTGGGATGAATTAGAGTGGAGACTGCAAGCCAGGCCTTCTCGTCCAACATCAGTGCCTGACCTCACAAATGAGCTTCTCGAAAAATGGTCAAACATTCCCATAGACACCCTCCTAAACCTTGTGGACAACCTTCCCAGAAGAGTTGAAGCTGTTATAGCTGGAAAGGGTGGGCCAACTCAATATTGAACCCTACGGACTAAGACTGGGATGCCATTATAGTTCATGTGCGTGTAAAGGCACGCGTCCCAATAGTTTTGGCAATATTGTGTAAATATATACACACTCACACACAAGTTCAGTATATACACACACATATACATCTGACACTGGGGCATTCCATCCACTGACCAGCAATGTAAGGTTCTGTATGAGTCGTAATCCATATTGCTGGGGGCTGGACTGTGTTACTATATTGTACCATGCACTCTATATGCTTTGTTCTGCATTAAAAAGTCTAGATCGTTTTTTCTCAACAGTTTCTCTCCTTTTTAATAAAATTCTTCTTTAAAATAGTATGACACCTTCATTGTTTTTAGCTTAACACACGGAGCACAATAAAATAATTATTCATCAGTAAATATTTTTTATTAAAAATCTTACTGCAGTACTTGAAGATTTCAACTTTCAATACTGCTGCCTCCTACTTGCTCACTGCTGCTTCCCTGTACTTCCTATCTTCACAGAAAAGAGTTAGTGCAGTCTCCATTCAGTGTATTTACACTATTGTGAGTGGATGCAGTTACATAGTTAGTCTGGCTGAGAAAAGACAAACGTCCATCCAGTTCAACCAAAAACCGCAACCAAAACATGCTCCTCTTTAAAAACACGCGGGACTGCCATTCATTCTTAATGACTTCCCCGTGCATCTAAAAACACAGCGCATTTTTGGGTGTGGTAAATGCAGGGAAATTGCATGGTGCAAAAGCACCATGCAATTTCCCAGCTGCTGCATTTCCAAAATGCTGCAGGAACCTTTTTTCTTTTTTTTCTTGACTGGGGTAGAATATACGCCTTCCAACCTGACCAAGCCTGCTAGGCCATACCCTCCACCATCCCAGCTATACAAAATATGCAAACAAGGTTTTGGAGTCAAAATGGCCATAGCAGCCTTTTATTAACCAATAAATTATTTTAACATAGATAAAATAATATTCCAAATTATAAACAGAGGAAAATGTGGTGGTCATTTGAGGGCCATAAACCCAACTTCACTTTTGTGGGAAAACATTCCTTTAACTTAGGCCCCCAGCCGCAACCCACTGGCTCGGGGACAATCCTACTTATCCCCAGCCACAACACACCGACTCGGAGATAACCCTACTTATCCGCAGTGATTACCATTTTACCTATTCCGAGTTAACCCCTTGTTAACTGGAATGTACTGAGATCCCCATACCACTGATGGATCCTGAATCTATCTGCATGCAGAATTCTTTCCTCCTCCAAAGACCAACCACTGCCAAGGCCGCCGTGACAATCCAAACCAAAGCATGAAGGGGAGGGAGGGTGGGAATCTTCTTCTTCTTCCAAACTTCCCCCACTGGACGTCCTGAGGACAGACCCTCTTTTTCCTCCCTGGGAGACCCTCCCCAACATCTTCCATCCAATAAGGTAAGCCTTAATCCCCAAACTTCATTCCCATAATTCAACCCTCTGTTGTCTCTGTTGCCAAGCAGCTTGTTGAGAAGGTGACAACTGTTGGTGCAATCATTCACAAATGGAAGAAACACAAAACAACTGTCAGTCTCCCTAAGTCTGGTGCACCATGCAACATCTCACCTCATGGAGTGTCAATGATCATGAGAACAGTGAGGAACCATCCCAGAACTACACGTGAGGATCTTGTCAATGATCTCCAGGCAGCTGGGACCACAGTCACCAAGAAAACAATTGGTAACACACTATGCCGACAAGGATTGAAATCCTGTAGTGCCCACAAAGGTCCCTCTGCTCAAGAAAGCACATGTCCAGGTCCGTCTGAAGTTTGCCACTGAACATCTGAATGATGCAGAGGAGGACTGGTTGAAAGTGTTGTGGTTAGATGAGACCAAAATCGAGCTCTTTGGCATCAACTCAACTTGACGTGTTCTGAGGAGAAGGAATGCTGCCTATGACCCCAAGAACACCATCCTAACTGTCAAACATGGTGGTGGAAACATTCTGCTTTGGGGGTGTTTTTCTGCTAAGGGGACAAGACAACTGCACCGCATCAAAGGGACGATGGACGGGGCAATGTACCATCAAATCTTGGGTGAAAACCTTCTTCCCTCAGCCAGGGCATTGAAAATGGGTCGTGGATGGATGTTCCAGCATGACAATGACCCAAAACGCACAGCCAAGGCAACAAAGGAGTGGCTCAAGAAGAAGCACATTAAGGTCCTGGAGTTGCCCAGCCAGTCTCCAGATCTTAATCTGATTGAAAATCTGTGGAGAGAGCTGAAAGTTTGAGTAGCCAAACGTCAGCCACCAAACCTTAATGACTTGGAGAGGATCTGCCAAGAGGAGTGGGCCAAAATCCCTCCTGAGATGTGTGCAAACCTGGTGGCCAACTACAGGAAACGTCTGACCTCTGTGATTGCCAACAAGGGATTTGCCACCAAGTACTAAGTCATGTTTTGTGAAGGGGATCAAATACTTATTTCCCTCATTAACATGCAAATCAGTGCATCATTTGTTAGGCATGCATTTCTTTTGAATTTCCTGTTGCTATTCTGTCTCTCAGTATTATAAAACACCTACCATTCGATTTTTAGACCGATCATTTTCTTAGTGTGTGGGCAAACATTCAACATCAGCAGGTGATCAAATACTTATTTCCTTCACTGTATACTAATTATTGAGCTTTATGTAAGATATACTCTCACTCATAGCACAGTAATGATGGAATACTTTGTGGGTACAAGGAATGCAGACTTTGTACAGTAAATAATATATAGGATCAAAATGGCCATGCATGGTTCGTTCTTTTTTTTTTTTCGTTCAGCCAGCCAGTTGTAACAGTGGAAGTGCATGACATGACATTAAAACATGATAGGATCAGGACATTAAAACATTACTGGGTCACTTTAACAATGGCAAAAAACATTTGTCTTTCACACTATGTTAGAAGATGTAGTAGTTGTAATATGGTGACACTAACCAGCATTGAAAGAACATGCCCAGTTCCAACTCACTGAGGAAATATTGATTGCTTTCTGATGGTACAATCACTCAGATTTTCCATGGGAAAGGTGTGAAGAGAGGTCATGCAAGTCATTATGGTAGAGACCACTAAAGGCCACTAAGTACCAAAAATTGCTACAGGCATTTTGGCATGAACCATCCAAGGTTCATGGATATGAAGATATAGGCTAAATACAGGTTTGTCGTCTTCATACTGTACTTTGCACATTCTGATTATTTTTTCCATCTTACTAAAGGTCCACTGGCACATCTGTGTTGAACCACATTGATTGATGTGTCGGAGTTCTAATTTAATGCTGTAATAAGTCCCTGTAATAATACGTACTATCTATCTTACCAAGCTCCCTGTCATACAGTCAATGGGTTTATTCTTCACTCTTCAGCCTTTTTAAACAAGAAGAGAAGGAAAGTGCAACTGATGTACAGCCAGCCCACCCCCTTCCTAGACTCAGTGACAGGTGTCATGGGGAAAAAAGACTCGGGCCATGTACAGGAATGAAATCTCCTTTACCCCCTGAAGCTATAAATGATATGTTGCATTCACAAGCTAGATGATTGCCGCTCTGATAGAGCACACTGAAAGAGAAAAAGCAAAAGACAAACATATTATTACAAAGATCTTAGGACCCTTCCAGCTCTAGACAACCAAAGAATGAAAAAAATCAGTAAAAACTTAGCAAACTATCCCTCTCATTGTCTTACTTAGGCTTCCTTAATGCATTAGTGAACAAGGGTGCAACTTACTCTGGTGGGTCCTAACGATCTTTACATATGACCAGGGGCGGACTGACAACTCATGGGGCCCCCGGGGCAATAGTGGATCATGGGGCCCCTGTGTCCTTGCCCAAACTCAAAAAAGCCTATCAAAAAGGTACCAGGGGCATCTCATGGGGCCCCCTACTGACCCCGGGCCCTCGGGCAATGCCCGAGTTTCCAAATGGTCAGTCCGTCCCTGCATATGACATTGTTTTTATGTGAATATTTCTAACTCTTTGAGATATTACAGTTCTATTATGTCATCTGGTAGTGTCTTTGTAAGGGGAGTCTGTTGCTGTTTTATAAAAGTTCCAGGTTTAGTAGATGTCTGGTTGTTCCCTGTTGTTCCTCCTGCTGACCTCTATGTTATTATTGTGTTCTGTAATTGTGCAGAGGCCAGAAAAAAGAACAAGGAAATTACAAAGGGAGATGAGGCATCCGATGCAGCTGGATGTATTAGGTGCTGGACAGCACCGGGACAGGGTCGTCCAGTGCCCAGGGCAGGGATATAGAATTGCGTCCCTCCCTCACTATCAAAGTGTTACTAAACCAGTGGTTCTCAACCTGTTGGTCGCGACCCCTTTGGGGGTCGAACGACCCTTTCACAGGGGTCCCCTAAGACCATCAGAAAACACATATTTCCGATGTGTAAAGAGCAGCTACTGTGTAGAAAGCAGCTGCTGTGTTGAAAGCAGCTTCTCTGTTAAAAGCAGCTACTGTGTTGAAAGCAGCTACTGTGTAGAAAGCAGCTACTCTGTTAAAAGCAGTTACTGTGTTGAAAGCAGCAGTATTGGAGGTAAAACGACACTCATGAATTATAATTACTAGGTAAATAATTTTATGGTTGGGGGTCACCACAACATGAGGAACTGTATTAAAGGTCACTGCATTAGGAAGGTTGAGAACCACTGTACTAACCCAGGACCCTGCATTCACTATATCTGGCCCCCACAGTACACACAACATGGAAATGCAATTATTTTAGCAAATATAAACTGCTGAATACCTTTTCTCATCAGGAGTTAGAGACTTCTATCAGTGTCCAGCCGAGCACATGTTAAAGCTTGCAGGAGGAGTTTTCGTTCTCCTCTGATTGTCCTATGAGGCTGCAGAACCCCAGACCCTCTGTCTGGACAGCACTGATTGCCCTTGTACTGATCACATGCACTCTCCCAAGAGAAAAAAAAAAACATTCTAGCAATACACACCAAACTGAGCATGTGCAGCTAGCCCCCGAGGTTTTGTTCTTTCTTTTCATACGAAATTATATGTCTTATCAAGAGATAAGAGGGGGACACTGGAAGAAGGGGAGGATCAGAGAAGTCAGGCTCAAACAGCCTTTTTACACAATGCAGAGGATTAACCCCTTAGGTGCCTTGAGGTTTCTTCAGGGGTACTTTGTCAAAATGTCTAAAAAAATTGCCCAAAACTTGTATGCAAGCCAGTGGGTGGAACAAGCCTGTCTTTTGGTTACACAAAGCCACAGGTTTTCATTGTGCAACATTACAACCGTCTAGCCGCTGGCATCCTGACAACCAATGATATTATCAGTTGATAAGGAGGATGTCAGTTGCCGTACAACATCCTGGTTTGACCCTCCCCTGCCCCTCTCCATCAGTGCTGGGGTCACATTAGCTTAGTGATGGAGAAAAACTGAAGGAGAAGAGAAACATTGGAATACTAGTCAGTACCAGTGTGCAAAAGTGTATTTGCTTTGGAAGAATAAATATTGGGTGTCCTACATGCAGTATGTGGATGTTGCTGTGTTATATAAAACTACTAGAATAGTTTTTTCACATTTTAGAATGGGGTGCCCTTTTAAAACTATGGACAGTCTTGAGGTACCCCATTTTAGAACAGGGTGCCTCCAGACTGTCTATAATTTTCAAGGGTGTCTCGGGACTGTCCATGATATTAAAGGGTGCCTTGACTGAAAAAAGGTTGAGAAACACTGCTTTAATGCATGCTGTAGAATGTGTGTGCCACACTGCATCCATTTATGCCCCCTTGCTTCACTTTGCCCTTGGTAGATGCCCCTCCTGCCCACCCTTTGTCCCAGCCCCGGTGCTGGATAATTTTCAGCTTGCAGACAGCTGAGATCAGTAGCATGAGGTAGGGGTAAGCATTACCTCTTTTTTTCAGGAAAATCCTGCTTAAATCATTTTTTTTAGAGACAGTCTAAATGTTGATCTTAGCTCTGCTTTCAGTGATGCAGTAATATCCTAGAAAGAATAATATCACAGAAATTCTCCAAGCACATCCAGTATTTTCTTCCATCGTACATGTGGGGCAATAGTTGTGGTTGTTTTTGTTGAGTTTCCAACATGGGAATCAATATTACATTTTTCCCCAAGTTATTCGACCTGATGCACAAATCTGAACACAAATCTCCTATATCTTCCTTCAATATTTAGTCCTATTTTTTTGTCAGTAGGCCTAAAAGCAAGCAGCAAAGTAGAAGGGAAACAAAAGAAAGAAAATATTGCTTTATTCTAGATACTTTTTATGAAATGCCATTTATGCTTTGGACCCAAGAGCTTCTGGGACTGGGATTAATTCGTATTTTACTCCTAAATTGTGTGCTCCTTATCCTTCCTACTATGGTTCACATTAAAGGGTTACTAAGCCCAGGACTCTGCATTCACTATATCTGGCCTCCCACAGTACAAAGAACATGGAAATGCAATTATTTCAGTAAATATAAACTGATAAATACCTTTTCTCATCAGCAGTTAGATCAGTCTTGTGACTTCTATCAGTGTCCAGCAGAGCACTGGTTAAAGCTTGTAGGAGGAGTTTTCATTCTCCTCTGATTGTCCTATGAGGCTGCAGGACCCCTGACCCTCTTCCTGGACAGCACTGATTGGCCTTGTATTGATCATATGCACTCTCCCAAGAGAAACAAAAACTCTCTAGCAATACACACCAAACTAAGCATATGTAGCTTGCCCCCGAGGCTTTGTTCTATCAGAAGATGATTTGAGGACAGTAGAAGAAGGGGGAGGAGAAAACAAGACCAAACATCCGTTTTACACGGTGCAGAGGATTAACCCTTTAGGTTCCACAGTGAGTATAACAAGCATACTTTACTGCATATACAGACTGATTTTACTGCTGTGGGTTTAGTAACACTTTAAAACTCTAAGCAAGTATGGTGCCTCCAGACTAGTTATCACTACACCCAATACTTGGGGAGTTGGGACATTAAAACTGGTTCTGGTTGGGAAAAGGGTAGTGGGGTGAAGATGTGTTGGCCAACCTGGTGGTGGTGAAATAAGTAAGACCATGTGCTCTGTAACCCATGACCCTTGTGACTTTTGGGTCTGGCTACTCATCATGTCCCCCCATATTTGGGGCTCCTAGTAAGTGTAGCCCTTAACCCCAAAAGGGCCCCTTAAAATATGCCCAGGTCCTCCCAAATAGTACAGAGGCTGCCAGTCACACAAGCCCCTGTCCCAAGGTCACAGGATACTCCAAAATGATCAGCAACAACAGTAGGAGGATAAACTTCTCCCTAATGCTTCAATAACAGATTTTCTGGAGGTAGCAGGGGATGCCTAGTATATATAGGGGCCTTACAGCAGCAGTCCACAAAGCCATTTCTGGCACTTATTATTATTATACAGGATTTATATCGCGCCAACAGTTTGTTCAGTGCCAGGGGCGGACTGACCATTTGGAAACTCGGGCACTACCCGAGGGCCTGGGGTCAGTAGGGGGCCCCATGAGATGCCCTTGGTACCTTTTTCATAGGTTCTTTTGAGTTTGGGCAAGGACACAGGGGCCCCATGATCCCCTATTGCCCGGGGGCCCCATGATTTGTCAGTCCGCCCCTGTTCAGCGCTTTACAATATAACAGGAGACAATACAGCAACAATACAGTTCAATACAAGAGGGTTAGGAGGGCCTGATCCTGGGAGCTTACAATCTAGGAGGGAGGGGCACAATCTAGGAGGGAGGGGCACTTAGTTTCCTTAAAGTACCCATACAGCTATCAGTCCCCACTGATAGGTCTTTACGCACAGTGTCCAAGGATCTGTCTGCTACCCAGCGTCTGCAGGTAGATCCTTAGTGAGGGAGATAACAAGTACCTTCTCCAGACCCAGGACTTCAGTGCAGTTGTCAGGAGTCAGCAGCTGAGATGACCAGATCTGTGTAGCTCAACCAAGAAGCTGGGACCAGACCATGTATACATATATCTTTAAAGTGAGATTTATTTGCAGTGAAACAAAAGATACTAGCAAGCAAAAAACATGAGAATCAATAAACTGAACGACAAAATGCCTAAGTAACAGAAATCTAATAAACTAACTACAGTATATACAATATGTACAAAATATAAGCAAGATGGGAAGCATGGACAACAGAGAAATATCAGCAATGCAAGGAAAGGATGAGAATCAGGACTGGGTACAGGAACAAGGGGAGCAGAAGTAAGGGTACAGGATGCAAGGTTAGAGCAGGATAAATAGGCATGGAGATCTGACAGCAAGCAGGACAATCAACACACTGGGGCAAGGAACAATAGCAGAGGTGGGAATCAAGTACCCTCCCAGTGGCTGGGACCAGGTGGAACTGATTGCAGCAACATGCTGGCTGCTGAGAGACACCCGCTGGTGGCCACTGGAACTGCAGCTATCAATCCAGAGAACCACAGTGCCCTCATCAGGTAAATTCTGTCCTAACAGCAGTGCTCTCCAGCAATTGTAATCCATAGACAATCTTCTCTAGGCCCTCAGCCTAGTAAAACGTAAGGCTCAGACTGCAGCTTCTTGTCTCCCAGGGCCAACAGAACAGTCCTGCCCAAGGAAAACTGGAACCCTTCCTGAAGGGAATGAACAATCTGCTAAGGACTTATCACCACCCCATCCACCTTCTGGACACCTCCTTTCAGGGATTGGCTGGGACATGATAAATATTACTATAGTAACTATACTATTACTATAGTACTATTAATAACTGATCATTTGACTCTCCCAGCCCTATTTTTTGGAAACGTCTTCCAAAGGCAGAGGGACATAATAAAAATATCAGCTCAGGAAACTCTTAGCTGACCTACACAATTAATCAATGCTCCATTCACTACAATGGAGCCAAAAAACTAAATTTCCCTAG